CCGCCCTCCGCTGAGCAGTTCAGATCATTGTATCTTAAAAGTATGTCCCACTGTATACAGCAAAACCAACGGATACACATTTTTAAGAAGGCCTTACAAGATAGTGAGTCGAAGAAACTGTTCATCAGATAAACTTGAAAGGTTAAGATTCATGATTGCCGCCACCGATTTTTCGGCGTTTCCCGATCAAAACCCTTCTGTCCTCTGTGAAAATGTTACGGACTACATTAATTTCTGTTTTAGCCCGTGTTGTCCACTGGAAACGTCATTTACCCATAAAGACAGATACTCATCACCGCTACTTAAGCAGTTACGCAGGCGGAAAGATCAATCCTGCAAACAAGGACACAAAATCCATCTCAAGCGGCCAACAATTTCTATCAAACCTGAAATAAATCGGTTAAACAAACGGTACATCGACACTATCCTGAGAAACTCTAGTTGTCGTGGCATGTGGAGGTCTATCAACCGATTATGTGGCAGTAGCCGTAAACACAAAGGAAACTGTCGATATTGAAAGACTACATTCTGAGTTTCATCCAGTTTTGCGGTGCACTGCTTTGCCAGACTTAGTCAGCTCTAGGCCAACACCAACTATCGAACCCGCTACAGTCGTGAAACAGATACTAAAAACTAAGTTGAATAAAGCATCGGGGCCTGATGAACTATCACCAGTAGTACTCAAAGCATGTGCGAATGCCCTTTCAGCCCCATTGTCAAAAATATTGAACGACTGTCTCACAAGTGGATAAATTCCTGATATTTGGAGACTGGCCAAGATAACTCCCGTTCCAAAAAAGGAACCTGGGAAATATCGTCTCATCGCCTGCACGTCAGTCTTGCTCAAATTATTTGAGAGCTGCTTATTACCGTGGGTTGCCACTGAGTCTGACGAAGAAGACATATACCAATTCGCATATCCCTCCTCGCGGTCAACACTGGACGCCGTTGTATATATCGTTCATTCAAAAATCTCGGCAAGAAAAAAATAACGACAGAATGATGTTCTTAGACTACCAAAACGCTTTCGGCAGTCTTAATCGATCAGTATTGCTCAACTCGACTACTGAAAGTGGTGTAAATCCAAACGTAAGCAGACTGATCTGTGATTAATTCACAGACAGAAAGCGGTTTACATGTTTCAACAGAGAAAGTCCTCCACTCGCCCAGCTGCTTCTGGTGTCCTACAAGGTGCAACAGTTTGCCCATATTTCTTTTCTATCTGTGTCAAACAATTTCCCCTTCCTCCTGCATACATTGGCTGTAAATGCACTGATGACGTTGTTATACGTTGCAAAGCATCCACCCCAGAAGAGGATTCCGAAATTCAAAGCAAGCTGAATGACGTTATAACTTGGTCCCGGTCGCGTTTTCTCTCATTGAATGCCCCTGAATGTCAGGATGTTGTGTTTTCCTTCTTGGCCGATGTACCATATTTAGCCCTCATAGAAAGGTTTCCCACGCTCTCTGCAAATCAAAAACCCCTACCGAAATCAGAAATAGTAAAATACCTTGGCGTCACCCTATCACACAATTTACCATGGTCACTGCACGTTCAAAACACATTCTGTAAAGTCAGAAAGGTTTTATATTTCTCACTCCGATTGAGATTACTTTCTGTTCCCCACAAGTTGATTGTTACGTTTGTGAATGCATGCGTGCTACTCCACTGGTTGTATTGCTCTCCAGTAATTTTTCGCGGTATGTTGAAGAAAGACTTTTATTTACTGGCGAGATCTCTGAAACACATCTCTAAATGTAGTGGCATTGTCAGAGATAACCTGGTCCATTCTATCATTAAGAGACACCTACAAGCATGTGAAAATTTCGCCACCAAAATACTCTCAGACATTCACCACCCATTACACAATGAATTTTCAAAGCTGTATTTACATCATCCACACGCTCAAGATTTAAACTTTTATTTCCACGTACCTGTGCTTAACGCAATTCTGTTCGGCCATATCTAGCACGTCTACTTATGGACAAGGACACAATTTCCACAGAATTGCGCAACCGCTTCCTTCATTGACAAACACCTCATTGCTTTCAGTTTAATTATGTAATGAATTTGTAAATTTGAATACACAAATATGGTGTAATTGCTGAAAATACACCCATCCGAGTGCACAAATCTACTACTGACTTGACTTGAAGGTGTTTTCTGCCCGCACGGAAGCATTGGAAACCATTGATCCAAACTAATGTGTCTGAAATATTTGTTCGAGCGGGAATTATTGTGTATGACAGAGAGATACGCGTATTGCGGTGGATGCGAGAATCGAGAGAGTGCACGTTATATCTGCTGTCTTTACGATCAGCGAACCAAAAATAGTGCAGATCAATGATGGTTCAGTGCTTTCGATGAGAGTTTGCAGCTAAGTGCAGATTGCGTTTTTGACTCCACCATAAACGATGAAATGGGCCAATGTAGAAAGAAGAGGCATATTATTGAGCAAAACACGCATGAAACTGGTCAATCGCGATGCCAAAAAAAGATTCCAGTTTCCATCACAAACAAAATTCCAGAACGCAGGAAATGTAATGCACTCTGCCACTCGTCGCGTCAACGTAGGTGTTTGTATCTAAC